CATACTTGTTACATTTCCCACACACTTGTTACATTTCCCACACACTTGTTACATTTCCCACATACTTGTTACATTTCCCACACACTTGTTATATTTCCCACACACTTGTTACATTTCCCACATACTTTTTACATTTCCCACACACTTGTTACATTTCCCACATACTTGTTACATTTCCCACACACTTGTTACATTTCCCACATACTTGTTACATTTCCCACACACTTGTTACATTTCCCACACACTTGTTACATTTCCCACACACTTGTTACATTTCCCACATACTTGTTACATTTCCCACACACTTGTTACATTTCCCACATACTTTTTACATTTCCCGCACACTTGTTACATTTCCCACATACTTGTTACATTTCCCACACACTTGTTCCATTTCACACACACTTGTTACATTTCCCACACACTTGTTCCATTTCACACACACTTGTTACATTTCCCACACACTTGTTACATTTCCCACACACTTGTTCCATTTCACACATACTTGTTACATTTCCCACACACTTGTTACATTTCCCACATACTTGTTACATTTCCCACATATTTGTTACATTTCCCACACACTTGTTCCATTTCACACACACTTGTTACATTTCCCACATACTTTTTACATTTCCCGCACACTTGTTACATTTCCCACATACTTGTTACATTTCCCACACACTTGTTACATTTCCCACACACTTGGTACATTTCCCACATATTTGTTACATTTCCCACACACTTGTTCCATTTCACACACACTTGTTACATTTCACACACACTTGTTACATTTCCCACACACTTGTTACATTTCCCACATACTTGTTACATTTCCCACACACTTGTTCCATTTCCCACACACTTGTTACATTTCCCACACACTTGTTACATTTCCCACACACTTGTTACATTTCCCACATACTTGTTACATTTCCCACACACTTGTTACATTTCCCACACACTTGTTACATTTCCCACACACTTGTTACATTTCCCACATACTTGTTACATTTCCCACACACTTGTTACATTTCCCACATACTTGTTACATTTCCCACACACTTGTTCCATTTCCCACACACTTGTTACATTTCCCACATACTTGTTACATTTCCCACACACTTGTTACATTTCCCACATACTTGTTACATTTCCCACACACTTGTTACATTTCCCACACACTTGTTACATTTCCCAAACACTTGTTACATTTCCCACACACTTGTTACATTTCCCACACACTTGTTACATTTCCCACATACTTGTTACATTTCCCACATACTTGTTACATTTCCCAAACACTTGTTACATTTCCCACATACTTGTTACATTTCCCACACACTTGTTACATTTCCCACACACTTGTTACATTTCCCAAACACTTGTTACATTTCCCACACACTTGTTACATTTCCCACACACTTGTTACATTTCCCACATACTTGTTACATTTCCCACATACTTGTTACATTTCCCACACACTTGTTACATTTCCCACATACTTGTTACATTTCCCACACACTTGTTACATTTCCCACACACTTGTTACATTTCCCACACACTTGTTACATTTCCCACACACTTGTTACATTTCCCACATACTTGTTACATTTCCCACATACTTGTTACATTTCCCACACACTTGTTACATTTCCCAAACACTTGTTACATTTCCCACATACTTGTTACATTTCCCACACACTTGTTACATTTCCCACACACTTGTTACATTTCCCAAACACTTGTTACATTTCCCACACACTTGTTACATTTCCCACACACTTGTTACATTTCCCACATACTTGTTACATTTCCCACACACTTGTTACATTTCCCGCACACTTGTTACATTTCCCACACACTTGTTACATTTCCCACACACTTGTTACATTTCCCACACACTTGTTACATTTCCCACACACTTGTTCCATTTCCCACACACTTGTTACATTTCCCGCACACTTGTTACATTTCCCACACACTTGTTACATTTCCCACACAATTGTTACATTTCCCACACACTTGTTACATTTCCCACACACTTGTTACATTTCCCACACACTTGTTACATTTCCCACACACTTGTTACATTTCCCACACACTTGTTACATTTCCCACACAATTGTTACATTTCCCACACACTTGTTACATTTCCCACACACTTGTTACATTTCCCACACACTTGTTACATTTCCCGCACACTTGTTCCATTTCCCACACACTTGTTACATTTCCCACACACTTGTTACATTTCCCACACACTTGTTACATTTCCCACACAATTGTTACATTTCCCACACACTTGTTACATTTCCCACACACTTGTTACATTTCCCACACACTTGTTACATTTCCCACACACTTGTTACATTTCCCACACACTTGTTACATTTCCCACACACTTGTTACATTTCCCACACACTTGTTACATTTCCCACATACTTGTTACATTTCCCACACACTTGTTACATTTCCCACACACTTGTTACATTTCCCACATACTTGTTACATTTCCCGCACACTTGTTACATTTCCCACACACTTGTTACATTTCCCACACACTTGTTCCATTTCCCACACACTTGTTCCATTTCTCACACGCTTGTTACATTTCCCACACACTTGTTACATTTCCCACATACTTGTTACATTTCCCACACAATTGTTACATTTCCCACATACTTGTTACATTTCCCACACACTTGTTACATTTCCCACACGCTTGTTCCATTTCCCACACACTTGTTACATTTCCCACATACTTGTTCCATTTCCCACACACTTGTCACATTTCCCACACGCTTGTTCCATTTCCCACACACTTGTTACATTTCACACACACTTGTTCCATTTCACACACACTTGTTACATTTCACACACACTTGTTACATTTCCCACACACTTGTTACATTTCCCACACACTTGTTACATTTCCCACACACTTGTTACATTTCCCACACACTTTTTACATTTCCCACTGTTAACACTTAACATTCCATCCAACACGATGTAATTTCTACACTCACAATCTTGAATCTGATATAAGATAAGATGCTGTGGCTGATTAGGTAAACTGACTAAGACTAAACCGTAGCTATATTGATATTTTAGTAACCTTGAATTGTGTAGCATGTTTGTGTGACTTGGTGTGAGTAGCTTGTTTGTGTGACTTGGTGTGAGTAGCATGTTTGTGTGACTTGGTGTGAGTAGCCTGTTTGTGTGACTTGGTGTGAGTATCCTGTTTGTGTGACTTGGTGTGAGTATCCTGTTTGTGTGACTTGGTGTGAGTATCCTGTTTGTGTGACTTGGTGTGAGTAGCCTGTTTGTGTGACTTGGTGTGAGTAGCTTGTTTGTGTGACTTGGTGTGAGTAGCTTGTTTGTGTGACTTGGTGTGAGTAGCTTGTTTGTGTGACTTGGTGTGAGTAGCCTGTTTGTGTGACTTGGTATGAGTAGCCTGTTCGTGTGACTTGGTGTGAGTAGCTTGTTTGTGTGACTTGGTGTGAGTAGCTTGTTTGTGTGACTTGGTGTGAGTAGCTTGTTTGTGTGACTTGGTGTGAGTAGCCTGTTTGTGTGACTTGGTGTGAGTAGCTTGTTTGTGTGACTTGGTGTGAGTATCCTGTTTGTGTGACTTGGTGTGAGTAGCTTGTTTGTGTGACTTGGTGTGAGTAGCCTGTTTGTGTTACTTGAATTAAGTAGCATGTTTGTGTGACTTGGTGTGAGTAGCCTGTTTGTGTGACTTGGTGTGAGTATCCTGTTTGTGTGACTTGGTGTGAGTAGCCTGTTTGTGTGACTTGGTGTGAGTAGCCTGTTTGTGTTACTTGATGTGAGTAGCCTGTTTGTGTGACTTGGTGTGAGTAGCATGTTTGTGTGACTTGGTGTGAGTAGCATGTTTGTGTGACTTGGTGTGAGTAGCCTGTTTGTGTTACTTGAATTAAGTATCCTGTTTGTGTGACTTGGTGTGAGTATCCTGTTTGTGTGACTTGGTGTGAGTAGCCTGTTTGTGTGACTTGGTGTGAGTATCCTGTTTGTGTGACTTGGTGTGAGTAGCCTGTTTGTGTTACTTGATGTGAGTAGCCTGTTTGTGTGACTTGGTGTGAGTAGCCTGTTTGTGTGACTTGGTGTGAGTAGCTTGTTTGTGTGACTTGGTGTGAGTAGCTTGTTTGTGTGACTTGGTGTGAGTAGCTTGTTTGTGTGACTTGGTGTGAGTAGCCTGTTTGTGTTACTTGAATTAAGTAGCATGTTTGTGTGACTTGGTGTGAGTAGCCTGTTTGTGTGACTTGGTGTGAGTATCCTGTTTGTGTGACTTGGTGTGAGTAGCCTGTTTGTGTGACTTGGTGTGAGTAGCCTGTTTGTGTTACTTGATGTGAGTAGCCTGTTTGTGTGACTTGGTGTGAGTAGCATGTTTGTGTGACTTGGTGTGAGTAGCATGTTTGTGTGACTTGGTGTGAGTAGCCTGTTTGTGTTACTTGAATTAAGTATCCTGTTTGTGTGACTTGGTGTGAGTATCCTGTTTGTGTGACTTGGTGTGAGTAGCTTGTTTGTGTGACTTGGTGTGAGTAGCTTGTTTGTGTGACTTGGTGTGAGTAGCCTGTTTGTGTGACTTGGTGTGAGTAGCCTGTTCGTGTGACTTGGTGTGAGTAGCTTGTTTGTGTGACTTGGTGTGAGTATCCTGTTTGTGTGACTTGGTGTGAGTAGCCTGTTTGTGTGACTTGGTGTGAGTAGCCTGTTTGTGTTACTTGATGTGAGTAGCCTGTTTGTGTGACTTGGTGTGAGTAGCATGTTTGTGTGACTTGGTGTGAGTAGCATGTTTGTGTGACTTGGTGTGAGTAGCCTGTTTGTGTTACTTGAATTAAGTATCCTGTTTGTGTGACTTGGTGTGAGTATCCTGTTTGTGTGACTTGGTGTGAGTAGCCTGTTTGTGTGACTTGGTGTGAGTAGCTTGTTTGTGTGACTTGGTGTGAGTAGCCTGTTTGTGTGACTTGATAATTGATACTCACGTTTGAACAGTAGTGAATCCAGCAGCACGGAGTTTCAAGAGCCTGTCCTCCCAATAGTGGGGTGGGATTCGGAAGTAATGCATTTCCCCCGCAATGTAACGGTAACACTCGCCATCCTTAGCGTAGCAATCTCTCTGAGGGCATCTCGTGTTAGTGGTGTGAATACTGTGTTCTGATTGGTTGGTTTGTGTCACGTGGTGTGTATTTTGTGTTCTGATTGGTTGGTTTGTGTCACGTGGTGTGAATACTGTGTTCTGATTGGTTGGTTTGTGTCACGTGGTGTGTATTTTGTGTTCTGGTTGGTTGGTTTGTGTCACGTGGTGTGAATACTGTGTTCTGATTGGTTGGTTTGTGTCATGTGGTGTGAATACTGTGTTCTGATTGTTTAGTTTGTGTCACCCGGTGAATCACAAAGTTCAAGTTCGATCTCCAACTAATCTAATATCTTTGCATCATTAAAAACACGTTTAACCGAGGTGATATGTAATTTGAATAGAATTACCTGGTAGTCAATGGTAAAGGTTTGCGTTGTTCCCTTGCTATACAGCACAGAAAGAATGACAAGTGCTAGCAACCTGGCTAGAAACCTGGTCTGCAGCGTCATTATCATCCTTTAAAACATCAGTTCCCTGTTTTATAATTGTTAATCACACAAAGTTTTAAAAAGTTGTCTATTACTAACCTTTTAGTAACCTTTTAGTAACCTTTTAGTAACCTTTTAGTAACCTTTTAGTAACCTTTTAGTAACCTTTTAGTAACCTTTTAGTAACCTTTTAGTAACCTTTTAGTAACCTTTTAGTAACTCAAAAGTGACCAATCAGTTAACGACAAATAACTTAAACTTGATACATTAATAGATACGAGCCCGTAAAGATGGGCGATGTTGACATATAACCTTAAGCTTAAACTTGATACATTAATAGATACGAGCCCGTAAAGATGGGCGATGTTGACATATAACCTTAAGCTTAAACTAGATACATTAATAGATACGAGCCCGTAAAGATGGGCGATGTTGACATATAACCTTAAGCTTAAACTAGATACATTAATAGATACGAGCCCGTAAAGATGGGCGATGTTGACATATAACCTTAAGCTTAAACTAGATACATTAATAGATACGAGCCCGTAAAGATGGGCGATGTTGACATATAACCTTAAGCTTAAACTAGATACATTAATAGATACGAGCCCGTAAAGATGGGCGATGTTGACATATAACCTCAAGCTTAAACTTGATACATTAATAGATAAGAGCCCGTAAAGATGGGCGATGTTGACATAGAGTCCAAGATCCAGCAGGATCGTGAGAAGGGAAGGAAGGAATGGGATCACCCAATCTCCTTCATTCTAGCTGCAGTAGGTTCTGCTGTAGGACTGGGAAACGTCTGGAGGTTCCCTAACTTGGTCTCTCAGTGAGTATTGGTGTGGGGAGGAGGGAAGAGGAGGGAAGAGGAGGGAAGAGGAGGGAAGAGCAGGGAAGAGGAGGGAAGAGGAGGGAAGAGGAGGGAAGAGGAGGGAAGAGGACGGAAGAGGAGGGAAGAGGAGGGAAGAGGAGGGGCAGGGGCAGGGGCAAATGTTGTGGGATATCCGTTTGTAAAAATAAAATCTTTAAGAATGTATAAATTCTCATCATGATTTGATTAATAAACATGAACTAAACTGCTACACAGGTACGGAGGCGCTCCATTCCTCATTCCCTACTTCTTCATCTTGATATTCGTGGGAATGCCTATCCTCGGAATGGAGCTGAGTATTGGAACCTTCTACCAGGCCGGAGATGCTGACGCGTTCGGTTCCATGAACCCCAGACTCAGGTAAGAAACAAAACACTGTCTCTTAGGGGTATAGGACTGCGAGTGTGTTTGTTTGTGTAACTGTTAGCGAGTTAAGTTCACTATCTTTCAGGGGTATAGGACTGGCGAGTGTGTTTGCAGGCTACACCATTACCTTCTACTACTGTATTATCCTGGGGTATGCTTGTATTTACTTTGTGGAGTGCTTCCACAAAACCGACGCAATACCTTGGTACGACAATCAAGCAGCTCATTTCGACGATATTTCCATGACAGCTGGTATGGCAGGTGAGTAAATAAATTGATTAATAAGTTAACTAAGCAAGTAATCATGTTGGAACCCCCCCCCCTGTTGGAACCCCCCCCCCCCCCTGTTGGAACCCCCCCCCCCCCCCCCCCCCCCCCCCCCCCGTTGGAACCCCCCCCCCCTCCCCATAGAGTATAGAATGAAAACGAGACGACAAAGCGAAATGTACATGAGTGCTTATCTTAGTAATGTATATAAATATATAATATGTAGGGTGTCTTATTTCGTGAGGTGGAATTTACATGTGACTTTCTGTATACTTTCTAATTTCTAATACAATTGTAACAGTTACCTTTCATTATAACAACTGATATAATTAGCATGGAACCAACACAACTAACACAACTAAAATAATCAACACGACTAACACAACTAAAATAACTAACACGACTAACACAACTAAAATAATCAACACGACTAACACAACTAAAATAACTAACACAACTAACACAACTAAAATAACTAACACAACTAAAATAACTAACACAACTAAAATAACTAACACAACTAAAATAACTAACACAACTAACACATTTAACACAACTAACACAACTAACTACTCAGCTAGAAAGCTAGCAGACCCATCGACTGAGTTCGACTGGCTCGGTACTTTCAACTGGAAAGTGTTTGTTGGCATCACGGTGGTGTGGATACTGATCTTCCTGAGCATCTTCAAGGGAGTTAAGAGTACGAGCTGGGTTGTAAAGTTCACAGTTCCCCTTCCTCTGCTCATACTGCTCATTCTCATCATCAGAGGTTTTTATTAGTTACTCTCTTATTATGCTGTTATATATATTAGGTTATAATTTATCGCATTCTTTCAACTTGAAGAAAATATGAATTATGATTCCCTGCTTGAATTACACTCCGAAGTAAAGGTCTCTGTTTCAGGTGCATTCCTAGATGGAGCAGGGGATGGTATTAAGGCTTACCTGATCAAATGGGACGGCAGTACTTTGAATGACCCTGTCATCTGGACTAAAGCTATCGGCCAGGTATGGTGCCCTCTTATTACAATTCCTATGTTTCCCTAATTATTCAACAACTTTACATCCCTTCTTAACAGTTTCTTGGAAATGTGTAACGCTCCAGCTTTTCTGCAGCCTCTCCCTGTTATCTCTCTCTGTTGAACAATCCCTCCTCCTGTTGAACGTTCCCTTCCCCATTTGAATTTCCCTTCTGTTGTTGAACGTTCCCTCTCCATGTTGAAAAATCCCTCCTCCTGTTAAACAATCCCTCCTCCTGTTAAACAATCCCTCCTGTTAAACAATCCCTCCTCCTGTTAAACAATCCCTCCTCCTGTAAAACAATCCCTTCTCCTGTTAAACAATCCCTCCTCCTGTAAAACAATCCTTTTTTTTTTTTTAAAAATTTTTGTTTAACACCCAACCCACCGCCCACGGCGGGTAGTTGATACACCTTCACAAGTAAGAGCCAACTTGGTCCCACTTGCTGTAGGTGTACAGCTACATGGGTTGGGGGTCCCCCTTTTTTTTTTTTTGATTTTTTCTATTCGAAGTCGAAATTTTCTCAAGAATCAGCTATTTAGTTGTTTCCAGATATGGAGGGAAGTAATATCTATCAGAAGCTTTTAAAGTCCGATAGAAAAATAATGTTCCTAGCATGAATTATTGCTGTCAAAGATCAGCGGGTGTGGTAATTGGTATTGCGCAGTGCGAATTTTTTTTGATATCGAATGCCCTGAAAATCGAGTCTGAAATCTATCTTCTCCTACATGTTTTTGAGCAATCATCCTGAAACATTCAGGATTAGTTCTAGATCATTTAGAAGAATGACGCCCGAGTAGGAATTTTGAGATAGGCCTTTTAAAATTTTGTATTCGATTTTTGAAAATCGTGGACCTCGAAAAATCATCAAAAGACAAGGTCCAAGATTTTCTAGATCCGAATAAAAATTTTTAATGCCTATCTCAAAATTCTGCCCAGCTCATCCTTCTAAATGATCCCTAGAACATATCATGAAAGTTTCAGGGGATAGCTCGAAAAATGTAGGAGAAGATAGATATTTAGACTCGATTTTCAGGGCATGCTATCAAAAATCGCTTGCGCAACACAATGCCACACACGCGCTGACAAGACCCACAATTAATTTCGCTAGAAACGATATTTTTTCAACGGATTAAAAAGCATCTGATAGATATTACTCCCCTCTATAAGAAAACAACTAAAAGTCGATCTTGAGAAATTTTTCATGAAGAACCCCCTGCCCCCTTAAACACCTCTGTGTTTAAAGACCACTCTTGAATGTTTGGATTATTTTTATCCAAATTTTATTTTAGGGAACTATCTCTAAAACCACGATAACATTAGAACCAATCCCCAGGCCCTCAGAAAATTCCTTTTTTGAACCCTACCATAGTGAAATTGATAAAAATGTGACAAAGTGTTAAATTTTGTCCCTTGATTCTCCCAGCCGAATATCTAATCTTGTCCTGGCCCGCATTATTAGACTGATTAATTATAAAATAGACAACTTTCTAGACAACTGAAGTAATACATCTGGCTAGATCTCCTTCAAAAGATAATACTGCTTTCACTATTTATCTAACCATTAGCATTATTTTTTCAGCTATAATGTGTTATAGAGGTACATTCATTGGGAAAACACTGATGAAGATTTTAATTACAAATCTTGACTGATGTGGAATTTCTATGTGTGTTCCTCCTTTGCCCCACAGTTGTTCTCGACTGGTACCAAAGTAGGAAGCTGAATGCAAGTAAACAGCAGCTTCAATTTTTTTGTTGGGGGCCCCCAAACCAAGCCCCCTCCTCTCTTCACAACATGCTTGGGAAGAACACCAAAACCAGTCCCGCATTTGTGTCACTTGTTTTCAAGATGTTAGTATACCTATTTATTTTAATTAGTTCTAATGCTTGATTTATTTTACATGTAGAGTTTAAAGGAAGGTTAAACCTGTTTTAATTTCCCAAAGTCACCTTGACATAATTTGTGTGCCTTCATCTGTGTATCTAGATTCCCAGGAGATGAATCAGAGATGAGAAACTTTTGAACCGATGGTTTGGTTTTTGCTGTATGTGTCGCGAACTAAGTTAAATGGATTTGGCATAGTGGAGGGCAATGAGCAGGTGTACTAACGTTTTTGGCAAAGTGCGAAATATTTCCCCAGGTGTCACGAAATGAGGAAAAAGAACAAAAATGAACAAAAATAAACAAAAATAACCTTGTCCCAGAATGCCCAGCCCGTTTGGCTTACATTGGTATTAATACATTTTGTTCCCTGAAAAAAGCCTGTCTAGCATGTTCAGCAATGCTTCTGGGCAATGTTCCATTTTCGTTTCAGAGTATCTCGAAATTTGGAAACATGTTGAACCAACTTTTAAAGCATATATTGGCTGTATTTCGTCACCTGAACTGATTGGCATTGATTATCAACCGTTTCAGCTCATTTCAGAGATTCTTGGATAATATAATTTTCTGTTCATTTTGTTCATTTTCATAAACCAGGGGGAATATTTTACATTTCTGAGTGGCTAAAAAAGTTAGTGTAC